ATTATAAGACATCACGTTTACGTGCAGCGATGCATTTCTAAGATGGGAGTTTTTTTAGGATGGCACCGATCCATCTTTTTATTTTTTTAACCAGGCACAGTCGAAATCACCACGTCAGACACATTTATCTCCTCTCTGAATTCTTTTTTTCTTTGTGGGAATCTATTTTTGATCATTATTAATGGTTGCCAGTGTAATCTAACCTGTGGGACGCTTTCATTTAGTTCTGACTCACTCGAAATCTGACAGACTCCATTTAGTTTAACGTAGTCGCAGAGTCATCATGGCCGCTTCTCCTTCTCCTAGTCGACTACATTTACAGTAACTCTTGAAAATCAGTGGAAATAAAGACATGGATGTTTTTGTTTAGAGCATAAACTCTCAGATATTTTTCATTTATTGACTAATTTAGCCCCTCAGACGCCCTGCAGCTGCCACCCGTCATCCGTTCGCCGTGACAGTATGTGGAAAACAGAAAGAGGTCTATAACCACCAATCAGCTGCAGTCTCGGTGTAATGTTGATGCTGTGAAATTCACTTGATATTTTTTTAAATACACTGATTAAATTAAATTGTGTAATCAAGTCAACAAAGCCACTTAGTCTTCCCTCTGGCCTTGGGAGGCTTCTCCATTAATGGCTGCACGAGGAAAAGTCTGCAAATCACACAGCAAACAGGCCGAGTGACTCGAGGATTCATACCAGCAGATTCAGACGTTCTGCCAAGAGAACAGCAGCGCCCAGGTACTGGTGAGGTGTGCAGTGGTGCTCACGGTGAGACGGCTCCGTTCAGACTCGGGTGGCTGGACCCAGCAGCAGCAAAAGCCTCTGCAGACGTCAGGAGTTTCAGTGGGAAGATTTAGAAATATTTCATATTCACATTAGTTTCATAGTTTTACTATCTTTGTTTTTCACCATCAGCCTGAGTAGGTTTTGCTTTAGGAATCTGGACTTTTCCTGCGTCCATCATCAGATTCTCAGGAACACGATGAAAACATCCGTAACAAGGAAACTCTGGATCTGACGGCTAATTTCTCCTAAAACTGCACAAAGGAGAGCTAAGATTAGCGTTGTCGTACAATCAGACTCATGTGGTGATCTTCAGAGCTGGACAGAAGCAAGCACTGCGAATCATCACAGAGGCAGTGTGACGTAGATCTGCGCTGCACAGATCTCAGGGAGAAGCAGACATTTTCCCTCTGCTCATGTCGGAAAAGCCCAAACACGGTGTTCCGTTGCTGACTGGTTTCTGCATCGTTTACAAGCTGCAGCATCCCTGAGTGTGAGCTGATGGAGGTGGCGAGTAAAGGGGGGCACGGCTTTAAACTGAAGGAAGCCTGCTCAGCGGCACTGTGGCCGCTGATCTCTAAAGCTGAGGTCAAACTTGAGGGAAACCATCTAGAACTGCTTTTGGCTTGTTATGTAGCAGCTGAGAATGCTCCTCCTTTGGTTGAGGCCTACAAGAGGCTGTAATTAATGCGAGGCTCCAAGTGCACGCTTGAAAAGCAGTGGGTTCAGATTCATCCGGTTCCTTTCTGATTTCTGCTGAGAGCTACAGCAGGAATCAAACCAGCGCGTGCTTCATCCCCTCCGCTGTGAGCCGTCCTCCTCGTCTTTGTCTCAGATCCTCTTTGATGAGTCACGACACGTTTTCAGCGTTACAACCTCATCTCAGTGGCGATTTAATTTAGTGTTGATCTAGCATGGAGGCAATTTAAAACACCTGTCTGCAGGAGGCCAGGGAGGAAATCAAACCAATTCCAAACACATTAACAAACAATTTAGGATTGACGGATAAAACTCTTGTAAAGGCAAACACAGATCTATTAGCAGCCTTGAATAAATCTTTGCTTTTGCTAAACTTGCCAGTGGGGGAGCAGACGAGTGCTGTCGAGCGAGAAAAGCATCTGGAGAACGACAGAAACTCGACAGAAACTGTTAAAACGGCTCCGTGTGGATTCGCTCCGTCTAAATGCTTTCTTGTCTTTATTCCTGAGATAGACGATAATTTATGTAACTCCTAAATGTGTGTGTGTGTGTGTGTGTGTGTGTGTGTGTGTGTGTGTGTGTGTGTGTGCATGCGTGCGTGTGTGTGCATGTGTGTGCATGTGCATGTGCGTGTGTGTGCGTGTGTGTGTGTGCGTGCGTGTGTGTGTGTGCATGTGTGTGCATGTGCATGTGCGCGTGTGTGTATGAGTGTGTGTGTGTGCGTGTGTGTATGAGTGTGTGTGTGTGCATGCGTGTGTGTGGACTGGTGATACACCCTGCGTGTGTATGAGTGTGTGTGTGTGTGTGTGTGCGTGTGTGTGTGTGTGTGGGAACTGATGATACACCCTGTGTGTGTGTGTGAGCGTGCGTGTGTGTGTGTGTGTGTGGGGACTGATGATACACCCTGCGTGTGTGTGTGTGTGCGTGCGTGTGTGTGTGTGGTGACTGGTGATACACCCTGCAGCGGTGTGCGTGTGTGCGCGTGTGTGCGTGTGTGTGTGTGTGTGCGTGTGTGTGTGTGTGTGCGTGCGTGCGTGTGCGTGTGTGTGTGTGTTTGTGTGTGTGTGTGCATGCATGTGTGTGTGCGTGAGTGCGTGTGTGTGTGTGAAATGCTGTTGGAGACGTTTACACCGCTGCTGCCTCCAAGCAGCCTTGCTAAATATAACAGAATTGAAGGATTCGTCGCTGTTTGCTCTTCTGAATGTCTCATTAGCTCTTCTCCTGTGCTCTCCTCTCCAGGTGGTGGGTCAAATCGATAAACTAACGTCTGACTTTGACTTTGACCTGGAGCCAGATGACTGGACGGTGGCCACGGCCAGCAGCACGTCCAGCAGCGAGCGGGGTCTGGGTGAAGCCTTCAGACTGGACTTCCTCAATGCAGACGTGCTCTCGGACAGCTGGGAGTTCTGCAGCTACCTAGAGGCTGCAGGTGCTGCCGCCCGCCGGTGTAGTGAGCAATCAGGGGACCTAAGACAGGACATGGGCCGTGAGACCACCCAGACCCAGACGCCCACCCCACCCCCCAGCACTGCCTCAGTCTACTCTCAGATGAACGGTGGGCTTCCCTTCCACAACGGGCCACGCATCATTACTCCAGATTCATCCAGCGAGGAGGCCAGCAGCTCGACGCACAGCCAAAAGACCTCCCGCACTTCTGGCACAAGAGAAAGGGTTCGCTTCAGTGACAAAATCCTGTACCATGCGTTGTGCTGCGACGACGACGAGGAGGAGGAGCAGGAGGAGTTACGAGAGGACAAGAGTGGCTGTGCTACTCCAGATAGCGACTCTGAGCCCAGCCTCCTGGGAAGCTTGGTTGCCCCCAAACGTTCTTCCTACGAGCACTCGCTCCTCCACAACTGTCTGGACCCTCCCTACGGGTCCTCGCCCGTGAAGGGGATGACAGGAGCTCACACACTACCCAGGAAAGGTCTCTTAAATCCCGGCTGCAGCAAAAAACTCTTAAGAAACAGCAGCACACAGACCGTCTCGGACAAGAGCACTCAGACTGTACTGCCCTATATCCCAACCAAACAGAAAACCAAGGACCACTGAGGAAGCCTGACGTTTCTCATTCATCTCCTGAAGAGAACTGTGCATTATTTAATATTAAATACATAGCTCATAGATTAATACACAAATAAATGAATTACTAAATAAATAAATGATATATGGGAAATCTCTTGCCTACCTAAAGTCTTTCTGAAGCTCAGAGAAACCCTGAAATCTGATAAAGCACAAAGTTGAGATAGTTCAGAGCTTCCAGCTGGATTTCTGTAGCGAGGTCAGGAATCTCCGATTAGAGGAGCAGATTTATTCTCACTGGGTTGATGTGCTAACGGCTAGTCACGGCAAGGCCAGTTACAAAGTGGATTTCTGCGTCCTACACACGTCAGTATTTCTGCACCTTTACGGAGCCGTTACACGGTGATCTACGCTGGCCCCTCTGTGTGGCACGTTAACGCCTCTGGCTGGAAATGTGGCCGCCTTCCTTCTCTAGAGAGGTGAAAAGCTAAATCTCCTCCTGACCAGATGCCCGAGCAACCTCAACTGGCTCCTCTCCATGTGGAGGAGCAGCGGGTCTACTCCGAGCCCCTCCCGGATGACTGAGCTTCTCACCCTATCTCTAAGGGAGAGCCCAGCCATCCTGCGGAGAAAACTCATTTCAGCCGCTTGTATCTGTGATCTCGTTCTTTCGGTCGCTACCCAAAGCTCATGACCATAGGTGAGGGTAGGAACGTAGATCGACCGGTAGCCTTCTGACTCAGCTCTCTCTTCACCACGACAGACCGGTACAACGCCCGCATCACTGCAGATGCAGCACCGATCCGCCTATCGATCTCACGCTGATTTACTTCAACTCCTCCTCTTGAGGCAGGACCTCGTCCCTGACCTGGAGAAGGCCTCATTTCATACAATTTTTTTTAAATTTCCTCTTGAAAATAAATCCAAACTAGGCCCGTAAGTAAAAGTCTGAACATAAACTTGTTAGAAAGTGGTGCTCTACATCAACATCCCATCAGAGAGACAAACCTCATCATTCTATAAAACAGCTCGGAGGGCCGGAAATGGCCCCCGGGCCGCACTTTGGACACGCCTGACTTGGTTGGTTGGTCAGAGGCTATCGGTCTTCTATCCACGAGTGATCATAAGAAACATCCTTCCTGATGTTATTTACTTAGTGGTGCAAAACTGAAGGCAATAGAAACATGTATGGAGACATTCTCTTGGACTGCTACGGACCGTCTGATGCTTTAGGACGGCAGAAATCCACTCAGAACATCTCTGAGACTACCCACTGCTGGGTCTGGTTTAGTCTGTTTCTCCAAACTGAGGCTGCTCCAAGAGCCGGCTAAAAGAGCAAGGATTCAAACTTTACTTTGTCTGAATTATTACTTCACAAACAAGGTGGAACCAGTGCCAGTGCCTGTCTCATTTTACAACAAATGGACTTTTACCAAATCAGTGAAATGCACCCAATCATAAGTGTTAAACGTATGAAGCAAGCCCTCAGCACACAACCGTCTCAGAGACAGAAAAGAACAGCCTGGCTCCTGTCGCGGGACACAAATGTCCTCGCTCCAAACGCTGAATCTGTATAAACATTGTTCCATCTTCATGTCCCAGTAATTTCAAATGTCAGGGGGATTATTGCTTCCAGCAGGGAAACGTCTCTAGATGCACACGTCAAGCTGCTTCCTCCTCGCTTTGATGTCAACAGATGACTCAGAGCGCAGAGTCGGAGAACAACACCGTTTACCTTCTGCTGTTATAACAGCTCATCGCGATGGCTCCTCGGTCTGCTGCAGAGGCTGAGACGTGTGAGCGACAGGTAGAAAAACGGATACACCGACACGTCACAAGTTGTGCTCCACAGCGGTGACATTTCAATTTGTGCTCCTCTCTGCGCCGGCCGCTGGCTTCATTCAGCTCAGCAGCTAAAGAGCACTTTGGAAAGAAAAAGAAAGTCTAAAAGGTTTTGTCTCTTCATTCAGTCGCCCGGCGGGGAATTGAACTCTGCAGAGTAGCGTTTTATTCACAGGGCCTGCGCCAATAGCCGTTCCTGATCAATATGTTAGAGGGAGGCTGCAGCGAGAGGTCTCTCTGCTGAGCGTGCGAGCCACTCTCCCGGGATCTGGGAACAAAAACTCAGTCAGACCTATTTACTGAACAAAAATTAGGACTGTTGCCCCGAAGAACTGACATTTAAAAATCGGGACCAGGAGGGAAAGCCGATGGTGAAAATAGAGCGTTCCCATTCAATGCCTCCCTTTTATTTCCAGTTCATTTATTTATTTATTTTCCACAGACCAATAATCCACCCAGGGAACAGCTTTGTGAGCAGACGCCTCTCACACCTCTGTGTGATTTCAGTGTTCAAAACAAAAGTCTCCAAGTGGAACATGCACTCCCACTCTGGTAGCTGATGCTGACCTTTGCCCTCCATTCAGAGCTTGACCTTCCCAAGGACGCCATTATGGCGTCACTTCATTTACTCACCCACCTGACTCTGTCAGGGCTTGCTGGGAGCCAGTGTGGGTCTCCAACAATCACTGGGTGGAGGCACTCTGGACGGGTCACCAGTCTATCACAACATGAGCTGCACATCTATTCATGCACATGGCCTTTAATAGTCCATCTGAAACCCTGCTGTGGTAAAGCGCGTCCGTAACAGCCCACCACGGCGTCTCTGCTCCTGTAACAGTTATTGCATAGTGCACCGCTTAAGGGAATTACACCTGAGCTGTTTAGGCAGCATTAAGCCTCAGGAGCCCCATAGAGGAGAGCAGTTTCACCAAACGGCTCGGTGGAGGCACACAAGCACTCAGCAGCCTGAGGTCGGTGTGCTGGGCGTGCGTTCACTGGAACTGACTTTCTCCTGATTGTCTAATGTTTTCTTGAGTCTTGCACCCCCCCCCCCCCCCCCCCCCCCCAAGCATTGGCTGCCATTTTCCAGCTTAATAGCCCAACAGGTCATCACAGCCTTTAGCATAAACAAACAAAAATATGGCACCACATGTGAAAAGCATCAATTACAGTAAAACCTTCCTGAGCTGTACGGTGGAGCTCTGCACCCTCCCAGTGGGGGGGTGGGGGGCTGATTTTATTGGTCGTATCTGCAGATGAAATCACCTCTTCAGAAAGGAGCTGTTGGCACTGGCGCAGAATGCATTATCATTGGGGACAAGTTTGAGATATTTGGACAAAACATTAGCAACGTCTCTTTTGCCAACAAGCTCATTAGTCATGTCTACGAGGGTGCAGCGCTGTCCTCGGTCCTCTGTAGGACAAAGACAGATGGGGGGCATCCAAAGGTTCTGAGAACCTGAGCACACTGAGAGGAGCTGAAGATCATGTGGTGATGTTGACGCATAGAAAACAGACGTGTGTGTGTGTGTGTGTGTGTGTGTGTGTGTGTGTGTGTGTAAATGCGCCTGCCTGTGTCCGCACCGCAGACTGATGAGTGCCTTGTTTAATTTCATTCATGCGCTGTCACAGCAGTCCCAACAGACCCGTGTTACACGGAGCAACCTGATTGGTGGGGGGCTACAGTTTGTGTTCTGACATCATTGCTGGCTTTTTGTGCTTTAACCCTGATCCATTCTCCAGTCTAAAGCAGAGGAACACCGATGAGAGACAAACTGGGGAAAACATGTTAATTATGGCACTAAATAACCCGTCTCCCTCCACCCTTCACCACACGACCTCCGTCCCTGCCGTGGTAAAAGTCCCGTCTGGTAAATCCGCCTAATGCTGCAGCCACGGCGGGTCTTATGAAAGCGCCGTGGCCACGCTTGGTAGTGATTGTACCGCAACACCGGATTTATGAATGAAGACGTGATGTCACGATCACGCGTGGAATTACCGCCAAGCTCCAGCAGGAAACTTTCACCAGACAGTTCACGGGGACGATGGAGGAGAGACTTTGGGAGTGAAAAGACACGTGGCCGCGTGGCTCTGGTGATTTAGTGACCAGCTGAGCGGGACACTCGCTGCCGTTTGAAACGCTCTCACTGGGAAGGGAGCTCGCGCTAAAACGCAGCTGTTAGGTTGTCCACCTCTTACCACAGGTGGGACCAAGTCATTGTTTTGCAAGTTTCAAGTCATTATCCACATATTCGAGTCTGACACTTAAAATTTCAAGTCATTTTTTACAGCAACATTGTACTTCTACGTTCAGTGTGAGTCACTGGCCATGTGTACTGTTTAACATCTGTATTTAACAGTTGATGAAACAAGTGCACATTGGTTAGGGAACAGAAAGTGTTCCCTAGACCTCCACGTTGAACGGTTTTACTCAAACTTAGCTAAAAACAGCATCCTCGCCTTAAAGGGCTGGTGCCATGCTAGTTTACACCTTCCAGAGCAACTAGAGGCACATTATATGATAAAATATTGCCGTTGGCACTTTTAAGATGTCACCGTGACCTAATTCAACCTGGGAACAAGACACTTGGATCTATTCTAACCCTAATCTGGCCACGACCCATAGACAGAGCTCTGTTGGGGGCAGGGATCTATGGTTGTCGTTCAAAATGTCTCCACATGCCGTTGGACAACAAACAACATGACATACTCACCACCAAGGATGTGAGTCAACAGGGATGTCCGCCTTACGCCATCAGAGAAGATGCAAATACATATTTTTTTCTAAATAAAGGACTGAAGTACCTCCATCTGGATGCATGGATGACTTAAAAGTGGGCAATTTAGGAAAAAGGTTTAAAATTAGGCTAAATTTGAGGTCAAACAAAGTCTTGTCAACTAAACAGGTTCAAGTCAAGTCCCAAGATACTGGGACGAAAGTCCAAGTCTTTCAATGTTTTTTCAAGTCATGTCTAAAGTCATCAAATTGACTTGAGTGAAAGTCATGTGTCAAGTCCATGTCTCTGACGCAAACACATCCAGTGGAAGGCTGGGTAGCTGCGATGTAGAGCGGCACGCCGCTGCTTCAAGTAGAGACCACTAAGGTCTATGGTCTGACAAGTCAGGTGCGTTCCAGAAGCACCTCGCCGTGCTGCACCACTAAAGCCAGCACTAGGTGGTGTTGTTGCTGTGACATGCTTGTAGAAGGAGAGAAAACATGGAGCATAGTCCCACAAGCTATGTGGGTAGATGGGGAGTTTCAAATACTTCTAATATAAAAATGAGTTGGATTTAAGGTGTGGTTCACTGAAA